GCACTCCCACAGGGGGAGCTCTGCTCAGCCACAAGCCAGGCTGATGGCTGCCAGCACAGCGGTGGTGGTGGGATCCTCTCCTGCAAAGGATTTCCGACTGCAGCTTAGGCCCGCTCCCCACTGGCAAGTGGACATCCCCCAAGGGCTCCCGGGCTGCTAGAGGGATGTCTGACTGCCACCTTAGGCCAAATCCCCCAGGGAGCGGGCCTAAGCCAGCAGGTAGTCATCCCCCGAGGGGTCGCAGACTGGGACAGGGCATAGGCTGGGTTGAGAGACCCCGAGTGCACAAATTTTTGTGCACCGGGCCTCTAGTGTGTATATATATATATATAGTATTATCTTTATTGTTGAGAGTATAACAGATGTCTCCTTTATTTCCCCCATTGTTGTGCTTCACCCAGTTTCTGCCCTGCCCAGGCCTTCACCACACTATTGTTTGTGTCCATGGATTATGCATACATGCATATAAATTCTTTGGTTAATCTCTTCCCACCCACCCTGCACCCCTTCCCTCTGAGGTTCTTCAGTGTGTTCCATGTTTCCATGCCTCTGGATCTACTTTATTTGTCAGTTTGTTTTGTTTATTAGATTCAAAGGACCACACCCCTATTGGTCTTTTAGGGTGGAGCAACCCAGTGAAATGTTGCCTTAATTTTAATGAAGTAAACTTAAAATTCAGTACCTGAACCACTAGCCACCTCTAGGTCCTCAAGGTCAATGGGGTCATGGTCTTCCTTTTGGATGGTGTAGATGTAGAATGTCTCCATCACTACAGGAAGTTTTGTGGAGCAGCCTGGGTTACAGTGCCTTTTATTATAGGGCAGCTTCCACCAACTCCTAACCGAGCTCCATTCAAACATCTAACTTAAAAACAGACAGGTTTAGGTTAGCTGTGTTTTTGCTGACTAACTCACTTTTCTTTGACATTTGTTCTGTAGTTGCAGCATTTCCTGCACACTGTTTGCCTTTCTTCCTTAGGATGCAGGCATTGCCCAATGTCCGAGAGCTCCTGCTCTTCCTCTGGATCGCTGGCGTCGGTGTCTAGTCATGATGTGTCTGGCTTGGCTCTTCTCTGTCTATTCCATTGGGGTTCAATGAGATTCCGAGATCTGTGAGATCATAATTTTTATCCAATTGGGAAGATTAGGGGTCATTTACAAAAAAATACTTTTGGCCCTTTGATATTCCACATGCAAGCATATTAAAGGGCTTGGTCCTTGTCACATAGGTTACAGATGCTGTTTATCATTTATTTCCCATGTTTTATCACTATGACACATTTTGGATCTTTATTCTGTTTTCTACAACTTCAAATTCACAAATTCGCTCTTTGGAAGAGTTTCATCACTTACAATAGCCATCAAGTGTATTTTTGTAAGTTTGATAATATAGTTTTCACCTGATTATCATTTATATCTTAATTTCTCCCCTAGTTTGGTGTCAATTGTCTGAATCTTAGGGTCTCTAGGAGTTTTGGATTGGATGCTAAAGATTTTACATTTTATGCTATTGAGTATCTGGGCTATAATTTCTTAAGAGTGTTGTGCTTTGCTCGGGTAGACATTAAGATGCTTTCGGTTTAGTTTGACCATCTTGAGACTTGTTTTTGAAGTTTGTGAGGGGCCTCCCCAAGTACCTCTCACTGTAGGGACCTTTATCCTCCTTAGCGAGGCCTGGCCCTTCGGCATCTAACTTTGTGCACCTGGAACTGACTTGGACTCGCCACTGATGCTGGTCGGAACTTGAATGTCCTTGGCCTCTTTGGGTTGGAGCCATCAGCTCACAGCTTTCCAGTATCTGTAGCCAGCCTCAGCAGTTCACCCTTGCATATACCTCAGGCATCAGCACCAATTCGGGGGCTGCTGAGATGGTTTCTGGTGTCTTTTCTGCACAGCTCTCTTCTCTCTAGGAACATGGCCCACAGGCACCTGGGTACAGTGACACTTACAGTAAGAACTGAGAGTACAGCTGTGCCCTCATATTAAATTGATGCAGGTCATTGCCAAAGATGAACACAGGGTTCTGTGATCATGGATTGGACCTAATCTAATAGTTCTTGTGTTTGCACCTTAACCAACTTATCCCTGTCCAGGAAATTAAATGCTAACCATACAAATAGTGATATTTTTGGAAATACTCTACAGTATTCCAAAAATATCACATAAAAGCAAACCCAAAATCTTAGTTCTGTGGATTATATTACTGATCTTGGCCTGGAGGGATAAGATAGGTAGCCATCAATCCATCCAGAGCCCAAAAATGGGCCTTTTAGTCTAATTTGCTCCCTCAGTGTGATTAAAGTGTACTAGGGTATATGACGAAGCCAAATGTTACATTACATATAAGCACCTTGATTTTTCTTGTTTCAGTTGATTCTCAGAACATTTGTCTTAAGATATGCAATAGCTCAGATTACAAAATTTTAAACAAATGATCAGCTTTTTATCCTTTCCATCCTAACTGTGACTGCCTCAAATCACTCATAAAGAAACCTCTTCAATGTAGCTAAGCGTAAACAAGGCAAGGCGGCAATGAGTTCTTACTTAAATGATGTCATGCTCTTCATTGTTGTGTGAGTGACTATTTATGACATTCTCCTTCATTATAAGGAGACATATGTAATGCTGATGGTCCAAGATTTAGTAAAAGTTTAATCACCGGAGCTGTATAAGGAGCAGTCTAATTGGAAACATTTTTATGTTACCCCCTTGCTCCTGATCTCAGAGGTGGCTGGTTTCAGTGAATAGTAAGTTTTCTAGCAGATCCAATTCGAATGCCCTTAACACTTCCAAACTTTAATGCTCAAATGAGCAATGTCATTTAAAATTATTTTTTTAAATGAGGCACTTTAATTATTTTTCTAACTGTGAGACTGTAAAAGAGATTCTTCAGATACAAATATATTTGTCACTGATAAAATGTATCAATTAGCTAATGGTCAGCAATGATTGTCAATGTCAGAGGCTGTGTCCTTGTGGAACTTCAGCGTCACTATATTGGTTTCTTTAAGTTGACAGGCACTTTAGGAGGGAATATCAGGCAGTTAAAAATAGGTGCTTAATAAACATTGCTGAATAAATGAATGAATGAATAAATGAATGAATGAATTTGCAAAGCCTGGGAAACCAATGCTGCAGTGCTGGTGTACTTAGGAATAAAAGTTTCATTGAGCTTAATTAAGGACAATTAAACACTATGCCAGGCTCACAAAAACAGTTTTTGGAAGACTAGCTGTATTTAGGCAACACAGGAGCCATTTGTTAAATGAATTAAAAATGAGGTTGAGAGGAGAAATTTCAACACAGATACCCAGTCCACTAATTTGCTGATCATTGATGAAAACTAGCTACTCGGGCAAATTTTTTTTTTGGAGGGCCTGGGGGTGGGAACTGACATGTGATATTGGTTCAATTAAAGAGGATGTACAGAATTCATTTTGGTTCATTTCTTTATGTTTTCTTAATATTGAGTTTTCTATTGAATTTTTTATTTTTAACGCCTTTTTCCCTTTTCTGCAGCATTTAATGGCATGGATCACTAGTTTCCGATAGAAGGGTTCTGAATCTGAAATAAACAATATGTCTACCTGCTATAAAAAATGTAGAGATAAAAATGCATGTTCTCAACCATGAATGGAGGTGACGTTCCTATATTCCATCATAGCTGTGTTGGAGTTTTTTTGTTGTTGATAAAATAAGGTGGCTTCTTCCTCAAACTTGCTTCTAAAAAATTGATGGACTTAAAAATACAAAGGCTTAATCATTATACAGGGCTCAATTGTAGACAAAGAAATCAGGAGCTCATTTCTAACACTGCTAAGTGATAATAAGTAGTTTTCTCCCATGTTTCTGCAATGCAATGCAGGGTACCCTACTAAATTTTCTTCTCAAGAAAAAGTCATACTTAGGGATTTGAGATAACCTGGTTCATTATTGAAAAACTGCTCAAAGCCAGTGATGTCCACTCCATCTGACTATTTACCTTTTAATTGTTTTTTGTTTTCATTTTTGTTTCAGGATTAAAACACGGTGACCCAACCATGACTGGCAAAACACAGACCAGCAACGTCACCAATAAGAACGACCCCAAGTCCATCAACTCCCGGGTTTTCATCGGCAATCTGAACACAGCCATTGTCAAGAAAGTTGACATTGAAGCCATTTTTTCCAAGTATGGGAAGATCGTTGGATGCTCAGTTCACAAAGGTTACGCATTCGTGCAGTATATGAGTGAGCGGCACGCGAGAGCAGCGGTGGCCGGAGAAAACGCCAGGATCATCGCAGGCCAGCCCCTCGGTAGGTGCTGGCCAGCTGCATGCCCCACGCTGGCATCATCTCTCGCTGCGCTGGGTATGGGCTTCGTGTGTAAGGCCAGCACAGGGTAACACCTGGCCCTTGTTTAACCCCTTACAGTGCTTATATATTTAAAATTTACAGTAGTTTCTTCTTTGTTCTCATATTGTTTTAGATATATGAGTCTTATTTTCTTTACACGTCTTTAAACTTGGGATCGAGTTTGCTTTGTAATACTTGTTACCTCCGCCAATCCTAGCAGAGGCAGCAAATGGAAAATAGGCCGTGGATTTCAGGTGATCTGATTTGAAGCGCCATCTGTCTTCCAGGAGACACTATGTTATGCAAAAACAATAAAATAGCTCCATGTGCCGGCTGGTGCAAGAATGTCCAACCTGCAGAGAGTGTTTGTAAGAGTTCCCTGGCGCCAAACTGATGATATTGCTGGGAAGCGAGACTGACATGCTCTGGAGAAGGACAGTTTTGCAGGATCGTTTTATACATTTGGGATGAAGGGGGCGGGGAGGCGTAAGGAAGATGACATGAAAGTGGAGAAAGCCAGGTCCAGGGGAGCTAAGGAGGCTGGTTCCTTGAGGGAGGTGACACCTCTGAGGTTCTGAAAGGAGGAGGCCCCTGGCGATGTCCCGGCTGGTGAATGTGGGCGCACAGGAAGTGTGGGTGGGACTTCTCGAAGACCTTTCACCAAGAAGCTATGGGCCTGAGCGGGACTGCCCAATGACCTGCCAGGAGGAAATTATGAGCAGATGACCCTGCGAGGTCACTTCTTGCCACTGGACTTGTCAGCTTATTATAGAACCCAATTAATCCAATACTTATACTACTTGTTATTAGGGGGCTCATGTATTTTTCTCATTTTCTGTTTTTACTTTTTGGGAAGAAGGGATAGAAAAATAGGAAAAGAGGTGAATTCTCAGGACTGACAAAGGAATAGAACCCACTCTTTCTTATCAAGTCAGGAATCGTGTGCAGTGGTCAGAATTATGCCTAATGTCCATATATAGTTTTTTCAAAGAAAAGAGAAGAATATAGTCTGAAGTAAAGTGAAAATATTTAGAAGATATTTTGTAATTAATACATAGATAAAAAGTAAAAATTAACCTATTTTTACATGAGGAAAAAAATACATTGAAAACATCAGTGAGTCCCTAACTTATGACCAGATACATATATGGAACTGATTATAAATCTTGTCTCAGATAGCTACAAATATCTCAGCTTCAAATGCCCAGTGCGAACTCTTGATTTCCTGAACCCCAACCTGTGTCACCCCCTTGCTCTCCATCCCAATAAATGGAACCCTCATTTATCCAGTTTTTCAAACAATCACCGAGGCATCAACCCTGACTCTCCTCTTCCCCCCAGTACTCCAAATATAACTCATCATCACCTTTCTTGCCCTGAGTATGTCCCCAAACCAATCACCTTTGAAAGCTCTACCCATAGGCACCTGACACTGGGCACCGTGCCTCAGGGGGACAGTAGTAAGCCTCTGACTGGTCTGCCCCTTTCCACTCTTGTCACAAGTCCCTTGAGAAAAATCAGTGAGAATGTGCTCCTAACCCTTCAATACCTTCCCATCTCACCCAGAATAAGATTTATCTTCCATCCACACCTTCAGTGCTCCACCCACCACATCTCTCCCTCATCTCCATCTGAGTGTCCACTCTGCCCTCTCGGACCATTGGTGATGCTAGTGAATTCACTGAGCCTCCACCATTCCCAGACTCCTACCTCACAGGCTTCAGACTTACTATTCCCTCTGCTCAGGAGAGGGGACTTGGCCAATTATTTCCCCTGGCTTTATTGTGGGCTGTGCTCACACCATGTGGCCAGCCTCCAGCACCCTTAAAGGGAGTGGCACACCTGTGGTTATCATCCCACCTTCAGTTAATTGAGCTGCTTTCATATGTTGGCAGCACACCTTTGCACCACAGGGAGAAGGGATATCCCAATTTATCAATGTACCACTGGCTTCCTGCCTTTGATATGCAAGGGGGTCCCTCAGCTTTCTGTGGAGAAGGACAGTGGGAAGCATTTGATCCAAGTTACTGGATCAGAATTTAAAAGTCAGAATATAACTGTGAAATTCTTCTGAAATGGAAACAATATTTTTTTAAATAAATCTTTATTGTTCAGACTATTACAATTGTTCCTCTTTTTCACTCCCATAGCGCCCCTCCACCCGGTTCCCACCCTACCCCATGCCCTTATCCCCCTCCCCCCCACTGTCCTCATCCATAGGTGTACGATTTTTGTCCAGTCTCTTCCCA